CGGATGATATTGATTACCAGAGATTATTTGTGAAAGCATGTATAGGGTTAACATTTTCGAAATTTTAATTTTTTTTAAAAAAGAAATGCTATAAGTTCGTAATTTAAGTTTCATAATTCACACGTCATGACATGACAAGTAAATTAAGCTTTACGTAGTTGAGTGCGTTTGGAAATTCTCGAGTAATTTTTCCTAGAGTTATCTTAGGTCTTGTTTGAGAATAGGCAAAATTAGTTAGAAAGAAAAAAAAATTAATACAAAAAGTCAATTTATTATTTTTACTTTTTTATATATATTTTCATAAAAAGTCACAAAAATTAATTCTCATTAGAGAGATTTTTATGTAAGAATAGAATTTTCTATTTTTATGTGGCGGAGATTTAATTGTACAAAATTTGAGGGTACAATAACACTTCCTACTTGATCAAAAAATTTAGGTGCTTAAAATTTGTAAATTCATAATTTTTATATAGGTAAATTACAAATACATCTCCAAAGTTTACTTAAAATACAAATTACCCTCTGTAATTTTAGAAATTACAAATACCCCCATGTCAAGATTTTTTTTAATAGAATTAACAAAAGATAAAATAAAATTTCTAACTATTTTTTTATAACAATAGTAAAATTATCTAAATTGTTAATTTAAATATATTCTAATATCATTAAAAATTATTAATTTGATAATTTATTAATAAAAGGGTTCATCTGTAATGCAAATAAAAACTTAAAAAAGTGAAATGTAATTTTTAAAATCACACAAGACAATTTAAATTTTAAGAAAACCTCAATAGTGTATTTTTAATTTATTATATTTCTCACAAAATTTATCAACATTGTGATATGGGCCGATGCCAATACTTTGGGCTTCGGGTGAAGAAACTTTATTGGGCTGATGGAGCCTCGAAAAAATGGGCCCATATAGAAATGCCCATAAAAGGAAGACGTTGGCCGCGCTAGGCAACTGAAGGCCAGGTGGAAAAATGCCATTGATGGAATTTTCCATTTGTTAATTTACTGTTATTACATTGATAAACCAATCCAAATTAAACATTGGGCGTGTTGGATTGGGGGATAAGGGAGAATTATTTACTATTAGGATTGTAATTCCGATGAGGCTTTTTATCCGGCGTTTATTTTTTTTTTAGTCCGCCGAATATAGAGTCTGGCCGGATTCCTTATCCCTTATATGGGGGACTATCGTATTCTAGGGGGGTATGAGACAATTTTTGGGGGATTATCCATTTTGGGATTAGGTGATGAAACGACCATTTTGACCCTCTACTATTTAATTATGTATTATATTTCGTAAAATTCAATAAAATTTAAATGTCTCAATTTAAAAATAAAATAATTTTGTTTAACTTTTTATTGATATTTTATTTATTTAATTTTTTAAAATAATTTTTTATAGATATTTTATTGATGTTGTATTTTAAAATTTTGTTTATAATTTATTTAATTTCATTATTTAAATTTTAATGGATGTTTTATTTAATTTCATTATTTAATTATTATTTTTTAAAAAAATAAATTTATTTAACATTTTAATTAAAAAAATAACATATATTTTTATTGATATTTTATTTATTTAATTTAAAAAAATAAATTTATTTAATTGTGTAAAAAATAAAATAAAATAAAATTTTATTTAATCTAGCTAAAAAATTAAAATATGAAAGATATGTTTAATATTGCTATTACTTAGTAGATAATTAAAAAAAGAGTAAAATAGTCTTTTGATCATTTATCTTATTTAGTCCGTCTAATCAAACGTTTGATTCACTAAAAATAATCATTTCCAGACATCTAATCCCATGAAAAAACAAATATAGGATACATATCTAATCCAACCAAATAGTCCGGGGGGTTCACAGTCCTAGGACTCAAGTCTGATGGACTCTAATCCCCCTTATCCAATCAGTCCAATCAAACACACCCTAAGTTCTATCAAATAAGATCGGTTATATGAATTATTCTTCTCCATTCGACTCTATTAACGACCATTTGGTTATTAAATTAAGAAGATTTATATCTCTATTCATTACACTAACTCACATCAATTTAAGTCTTTCCTTTCCCCCAACAGTTTCATCTACCGTTACTCTATTACATTTCTTCACTACTTCCGTTGTATATGACCAAATCATGTCAATTTATTCTCTTTCCACTTATCTTCTATCAGTATTACTCCTACCCATTTATGGATATACTCCTTTCTAACTCTGCTTTTTCTATCCTTATTACATTGATATATAAAAAAATTTTAAAAAAATGAAACATATTAAAAAAAAAAAAAAACAAACAAACAAACTAAAGAAAAGAATTTATGATGATTAAAGCAATGAAAAAATTGGAAAATTCTATTGATCTTTTATATTTTATATATTTGTTTTCGATTTTTATGAATATCTTAACCACTACATTTATGAATATCTTAACAACTACATCGAAATCAGACATTCAATTATTTAAAAAAATTCTACCAACACATAATGACAAACATATAGCAAGCCCATGACAATAATAACACAATTACTAATTGATCAGAGGATAAATTACTCTTCACAACTTAAAATGCTAAATAATTACCAATTTAATTTTTAAAATTTATTTTTACCTAATTTGGATGCGAAACCATCTTTCTGGAGTATAAAGTTTGAAATAAATATTTAGTTGACAATCATATGAAATCACTTAACATGTTATAGAATAACTATAAAAATTCAGTCAAACTGAAATCTAGATCTCTCTGGCTAACCTTCCTTACCCAAATCTCATCATTTCATATCCTCACTAAACCTCCAACTTTGATCGTCGTCCCTCCACCATTTCTCCCTTATATACCTAGTCATAGCCTTCCTCCAACCCCAACCGCCATGCTTCTTTATCCTCCACCAACCACCAAAATCCCACTGCCACTCCCAACTTCAAAAGACCCCTCCCTTCCTTGCACTTTCCCAAGCCACCCCAACCACCACCCGAGAAAAATATATTATTTTTAGTAAATTTATTAATTTTGAGTTTTCAATTTCCAATTTTCTTGCTAAGTGCTAATTGGTTTTTTTCATTAGTTTATGTTCTACCAACCTGCTAATTCTCCATGCTCACATTCACATGTAAAAATTAAACTTCAAATCTTCTTGTTATATTTTGGACAAAACAAAAGTACCCATGAAAATCAATTTCTATTTTCAGCGAAACCAACAGGGAGTGTTTTAAAGCTTCCACTTGTCAAATATAACCCAAATTGTAAGGGACTGTTCCAAAGAATCCCACTTGTCATTTTAATAAATCCAAATTGTAACTTTTGACCACAAACTTTAATGAGGTTTGAATTTTTGAATACTTTGATAATCTTCTGGAAGTTGGATTGAATCAATCACTCACTAACTATATAATTGTAGGGCAAACTTCACTTTATTCCCTATGGTATAGGTTATGTACGGATCACTTTTTTGATATTCAAATATCACTACATAACCTTCTTGTGGTTGATGGAGTGAAATGCACAGTTAGCTTTTGCATTTATTCTAATAGACTGTGCAATGCACACGAGGGCTGTGCAATTGGTCACGGAAAGATGATTTTTCATCCAAGTTAAATGATAAAAATGCCCTTATCTTCATCACCATTTTCCAAAGCAGCCTTTCTTCTTCATTTTTGAAAACCCAAATTTGGAAATCTCTACCCAAAAAAAAAAAAAAAAAAAAGGAAAAAGAAGAAGAAGGTAAAAGGACTATTAGATCTATAAAAACAAAAAAGAAAATACACAATTTTTTAATTTAATTTTCATATAATTATTTGGTGATTTGGGAAGTTCGTTTAAAGTTGTTTTTTATTTTTATTTTTATTTTTATTTTATTTATTTTTGACTTTTTTTGTCCTTCTATGTATAAAAAATATGAGAGGTGATATGATCCAAAATAGGTTAAAAGCTAAAAGCTAGTTTTTAGCTGGGTTGCCAAATACCCCTATATTTTGTAGATACATACATCTATATTTATACAGATACTGTAATTTTATACATATATATATATATATATACACTACATATTTATGTATACACACTGTAAACAAAGCAGCATTTCTTCTTCATTTTGCAAAACACAAAATAATTTTATTTATCTATCTCTACTTCATTCTCTCTCTTTCCTTCGTATATGAGCTAAGAGTAGTCTTCACTTAACCATTCTTATTTTTTGTGAACTACAACGTCGACGATCATGTCTCGCGTGTGTTTGCATTGTGGAAACAATGGTTACAACTCTCGCAACTACTCTAACGCTAGCAGTTACGCTGTCGTCAGTGGCGCCGCCATCAGTGGTGGAGTATCTGGTTACACCGCCTTCAAAGGTGGTGGAATCAATGGCAGCATCATGTTGTTCGGTGTTTAGCTTACAGAAGGATCGTTTAGGAAAAGCGTTAGCATGAACAATTTAGCTTAGTACGAGCAACCTCAGGACTCCAATCCCAATGTTGCCGCCGGCTACGCTTCTAACAATGTCGTTCACGTCTTCGGTAGGAATTGTGAAGGCAAGAGAGGTGCTCCATAGATCCATCAGTGATTTCAAATTACAGTATCCAAATTCAAATCGATTTAACGATGAATTCGTAACTGAATCGATCTCAATATTCACAGATTTGTACGTAGTATTTGTGTGTTAATTTAATTGGTTTGTTTGATTGATTAATTGATTAATTAATTGGTTTGTTTCAAATTACACCTCTGCGTGCACGCACGCACACATAGATATATATATAGGCGGAAACAATTTCCAAAATTTATTGTGTAATGCTCACTAGATTCTAATCAAGGAAAAAAAAATTGGTTTGAACTTTAAACTTGAAGGCAAATTGAACTTTAATTAAATTAATTTTTGATAGAAATTATATTGTTTAAATTAATTTGTTTAATCAAAACCCTAATTTCACATGTCAAAACCCTAAATTCTCTCAACACAACCTCTACTCTTCTCAAATGTATAACTGTTGAAGGTAATATTATGTCAAATTATTTTATACCCGAGTTATGTATGTTGTTAGTACAGGCTACCATGACTGGTGCAAAGTCAATGAAGGGTACTCCATATTGGATGGCTCCAGAAGTTATCCTTCAAACTGGTCATAGCTTGTGAGTACAATCACGCATTTCCATGCTTATAGCTGATCTATGATATGGATAAGACAAATGCGACCATGTGTTTTGTCACCTTAGTTACATCTTCAATGTGGATATAGTTACTCTTACGCATTGGTGTAGTAAATGCTTGCAATATTTTCACTTAAGCACGTACATATACACCATGCTTGTTGCACTCCTTATTTTGTGCTTGTTTTAGCTCATTAGTTTAATATCAAACATTCCAGCTCTGCTGATATATGGAGTGTTGGATGTATGGTTATTGAGATGGCTACAGGAAAGCCTCCTTGGAGCCAGCAGTATTAGGAGGTATTTTGAAACCATCATCTTCCATTGTTTTCCTACTGAAGTATTTATTTGTTCTGTTGACTACAACTTTTGGACTCGGTAAGATGTTAGTTCATTGTTTGTGAACTAACTAATTGGTGTTTCTTTTAGGTTGCTGCTCTCCTCCATATCGGGACAACTAAATCTCATCCATCCATCCCTGAGCATCTCTCTGCTGAAGCAACAGATTTTTTGTTAAAATGTTTGCAGAAGTATGTTTCACATGCCTATTATTTTTGTTTCTTGCTTCTCTTGCCTTTTGTATCCATTGCCAATTATTTTTTTTAGGCTGATATACAAATTTATAAGAAGATAATTTATGCTTTATTTTTAAGTTTGTTTCATTCTCTTATCCTTCTATGGCAGGGAACCAAACTTAAGGCCTGCTGCATCAGATCTGCTGCAGGTACTATTATACTGTAGGCTAATTTAACTTATCAATTCCTTATAAATTAAGCTCTTGACTCATATATATATATATATATATATGTAAGGTTATCTTGTAGCAGAACATTCTTTGATTCTGATGAAAAACACAATGTTAGATAATAAAAGTTGTCACTTCTTTTAATAATTGTTCTAAAAAATGTTTTTGGCTTATCATATGCAGCATCCATTTGTTACTAGGGAGTATCAGGAAACCTATACTGTGTTACGCGCTTCAGTTAAGGTCAGTATAACTGCATGAAACCTTCTTTGTTTGCATTATGTAGCTTTTCTTTTTCCTTTCTTATTTATTTTACAATCATTAGGAAAATTCTGGAAAAAAGATGGCAACACCTGAGATGGAGCTTAAGAACTCTTAAGGGTTTTTGTTAAATAACCTTTGGTGCTTTCAAGATATATTATCGTCTGTTATTTCTAATTATAACTCTGAGGTTGAATTTCTGTTTTAGCATGGACCCTATTATTAGGACAACCTACACACAATTGAAGGATGTTCATAATAGTGTGAGGTGCTCAACTATTTATCCTGAGAAGTTCCCAGGAAATGTCCCACATTGGGGATCAGGAAATTGTGATGACGACATGCGTCAAATAGATGATGAAGATGATCTTGTGATTGGAGCATCAGCAAAGTTTGATTTTACTTTACTTTCTGATGATTTTAATAAGGTAACATATTGCTTTTATGCCTTCCAACAAATATAATATTTGTCAGCATAGTAACCCCTAACAACCAATGGTTTGTTTTTTTTGTTAATCTAGAGGTTTAATCCTATGTTTGAGCCAGACGATAATTGGCCATGCAAGTTTGATGACACTCCAGAGAAGTTCTCAGGAAATGTCCCACATTGGGGATCAGGCAATTGTGATGATTACATGTGTCAGATAGATGATGAAGATGAGTTTGTGATTGGAGCATCAGCAAAGTTTGATTCTGCTTTACTTTCTGATGATTTTAATAAGGTAACATATTACTTTTATGCTTTCCAACAAATATAATATTTGTCAGCATAGTAACCCCTAACAACCAATGGTTTGTTGTTTTTGTTAATCTAGAGTTTTAATCCTATGTCTGAGCCTA